ATCAGCCACCAGCAACACTGCTCCAGGAAGAGCTCGGCCAGCTCCGTGTGGCTCAGGGGACACAGCAGAGCCCTTTACCTGGATGATGGCAGTCAGRCAGGCCAGGGTGGCTGAAATCTCCAGCCTGGCCGCCTCCAGGGCCGTGGTGTTGAYGCTGGTCTCGTTGGTGGTGTGGTTGAAGTACTGGAAATCCGACTCCGGAGCCAGCTCATTGCAGATGTTGCCRACGATGATGCTGACCACGGCAAAAGTCCCTGCGGAGCGGAGAGGGGAGGTAAGAAACTCTCTCCAGGTTCCATCCTGGAGGGCTCCTGGGCAGGTGGGGCAGTGCATGAGGCACTCAGCTCAACCCCACAATGGGAGGTGGCAGAGGGGCATTGGGCACAGCCAAAATTGGGGATCCCACAAAGCAAACACCCGKTTTTGGGGCACAGAGCGTTCCCAGMCAGTGTTTRAYRGYTCTGTGTGGGTAATTCCTCACCTGGAACCATCTGGTGGATCCCCCCCAGGAACAGGTAGGGGACCAGCGGGAAGAAGGAYGAGTAGAGCCCGTTGACAGGAGGCAAATTGGCCAGGAGGGCAAAAGCCATGCCTGGAAAACACAGGGAAAACAGGCAGGGAAATATGGGAGACRGAGCTTGGGATCATCAGGAAAACCACAAAACCCCTCCAAACCGGGCAGCAGAGCTTCACTGGACCTGGAAAAACGTTTTTCCCTTTTGGGGACGGGGCAAGTGATGCCACTCACCTTGTGGCACCTGGATTGTCCCCGCGCTGAGCCCGCCGAGGACATCGGGGACAAGGAACTCCTTGACTTTGTACTTGGGGAGCCACGCCAGGATCGGGAACAGGCGCAGGAGGCAGAGCTTGAACCTGGCAGCTGAACATCTGGAGAGGAAATAATAAAATAAAAGCTAATTAAATAATAAAATAAAAGCAAATCGGCAAAGAGGGGAGGAAGGAAATGAGCTGGGAGGAAGGAAGGATCTTCCGAGGAATGTCTCAACCCTTGTCCCTCACTCARTTCAGAGCCCTCTCTCTCCTGTATTATTGCTTTCCTTCTTCTGAGGAATGGTGACAGGTTTATAATTATGCAAACAAAGGTTAATCACCRTGTTGATAGCTTTCTTGGAAATATTTCTTTAGGGCACTATTGGTTTTAATCAGAAAGCTGATAAAAGGAAATCCCAGCTGAAAAGCTTAAAAAAATATAATGCTCCCATCCTTACATCACCAATCGTAGTTTTTCCATTATTAAAAAAAAACAAACTTTGGAAAAAAGGACCCCAAATGCACTCAGTGCAAACTGTTCAGCTGATCTGCCAGCAGAGAGAAGAGCCACCAATTTCATTTTCTTCAGCACAATTTGCATTTCTCCCATTTCTTCCATCCATCAAACCCCTGAAGAAGGCCATAGTTTCCCAGGATAAAAATGAGACCTACATCCCCAGGTTCTGAATTATTCCAGGTTAAATCTGGTTTCCATTCTCCGTTACCTGAAAAGGTTCCTCAGTTTCTCCCCGACGGGGTAAGTTCTGGTTTTCTTCTCAAACTCCTCATCAAAGAGGCTGACAGAGTAGGCAGGACGTTCGATGACATAGCGAGGCCTGGCTTGGCTCATCTCTGGATCATTTGGATTTTTCAAAAAAAAAAAAAAAAAATTAAAAAAAAAAAAAAAGGAAAAAAAGAGGAAGATCAAGCCAAGAATGTGTCTGGAGATGGCCCCACCTGCGGGATAACAGACCGGACACCTCCAGCGTCTGGGAGCCCTCCCCGAACTCCTCCACCCTAAATAGTTTCCCCGTGGCGGAGAGGCAGGTYCTGGGAGTGGCTTCTTTCTCCCAGCTCCAGGGGCTGCTGCTGCTCCCCGGCCCCGGGAGCTTTCCCAGCTCCTCTCCGAGCGATGCTAATGAGCGATGCTAATGAGCGCTGCTAATGAGCGCCGGGACCCGAGCGCGCCCTGGATTGCCTGGCAGGCGGGCAGGGGTGTTAATCCCGGCTCCGTGACTGCCTTTTTGCCTCGGGCGAGGCACTTGACCTTTCCCGTGCCTCAGTTTCGCCATCGGGGCGTTTGGCGAGGTTTTGCCAGGCTGGTTGGGCTCGGCGGTGGGTAACCCTGGCACCGAGGGTTGGTGCCCGTCCGAGGTGTTCCCACCCCGCTGCCCGATCCCACCGGCATTCCCAACCTTCCCAACCCTCTCTGGAGCTCCCGGGTTCCTCTAGGAAGCGATGCTCGMGGAGATAACTGTTGCGAACTCATTTCGGGTGATGAAGATGCCCAAACATCCCGGCGGACCAGTCCTGCCCGGTATCTGGGTCTCACCAAAGGGATGATGAGCACCACAAAACCCTTATTTCACCGTCCTGGGGAGAGGGGGAGAATCATCCGGAACGGGCCGGGCTGGGAGGGCAGGGAGGAAGCGGTCAGATATAAACCCGAGATSTCGGTAATTATTTGTGCTTTGTATCTAAATGGGTCATTGCCCAACGCAGGAGGAGAAGAGGGGGTGGAAAGAGCCGGTGATTCAGGCGGGAGAGCGCACCGAGAAACAACTTCCAGGCTGCGAGAGCTTCGGAGTGAGGCGAATGTGCCAGAACCTCCCTCCCTGCCCTTTCTGGGCGCTGCTGGAAATCTGGGCACACCTCAGCATCGAGTCTGAGGTATCGGGGTGAGGAAAATGCGGGCAGAGCCCTGGCTGGTGCCTTGGAGCGGAGAACGCGAGCAGAGCGGGGCGGGAAGGACAGAACCACGCAGAGAGACCCGAAACTTTGGGGAGGATTTAGGTCAGCAGAATCATTATGCAAATTGGGGCTAATGGGTCTGGCAAGGGAGGTGATGGAGCCCGCTGCTTCGGAGATCTCAGGGCAAATCCAGAGCTCTTTGCTGTAAAATTGTCCCGGCTCTGCTCTGCACCCACCGCGCTCGGGAGGGACCCCAACCCAGGATTTGGGCACGGAGGAGACGCGTCCCTCCCCCGGCAGTGCCAGGAGCCGAATCCAGTGCCCTCTGCAGGCGTGCAGAGCATCCCTGCTGCTCCTTTCCCCCTGCGGATTCCCCAATCACAGATTTACTTCGGGATAATTGGATTAATCCCTGTCCTGGGCTCTTCCCAACCTCTCCTGCCGAAAGCCTGTCTGATAAACACTCGTGGTTTTCCCATATTTCCCGTATTTTCCATATTTCCCGTATTTTCCATATTTCCCGTATTTTCCATATTTCCCGTATTTTCCATATTTCCCGTATTTCCCATATTTCCTGTATTTCCCATATTTCATGTATTTTCCATATTTCCTGTGCCTGCTCCCAGCTTTTCTCCCATCCCACAGCTCTGCTCAGCATTTCCAGTTCTCCTCCGTGAATATTTTGTAGGTCCAGACCCAGCAACCTGATAAACACTCGTGGTTTTCCCATATTTCCCACATTTCCCGTGTTTTCCATAGTTCCTGCGGCTGATCCCAGCCTTTCTCCCAACCTGCTCCACATTTCCAGTTCTCCTCTGTGAATATTTCATAGCTCCACACACAGCAACCTGATAAACACTCACGGTTTTCCCATATTTTCCCTATTTCCCATATTTCCTGTGGCTTCTCCCAGCCTTTCTCCCATCCCCACAGCTCTGCTCAGCATTTCCAGTTCTCCTCTGTGAATATTTCGTAGCTCCAGACCCAGCAACCTGGTAAACATTCATGGTTTCCCCATATTTCCCATATTTCCCGTATTCCCCATATTTCCCATATTTCCCACATTTCCCATATTTCCTGTGCCTGCTCCCAGCCTTTCTCCTATCCCACGGCTCCACTCAGCATTTCCAGTTCTCCTCCGTGAATATTTTGTAGGTCCAGACACAGCAACCTGATAAACACTCATGGTTTTCCCATATTTCCCACATTTTCCCTATTTCCTCTGGCTGCTCCCAGCTTTTCTCCCATCCCACAGCTCTGCTCAGCATTTCCAGTTCTCCTCCATGAATATTTCGTAGATCCAGACAGAGCAACCTGATAAACACTCGTGGTTTTCTCATATTTCCCGTATTAACCATATTTCCCATATTTCCTGTGCCTGCTCCCAGCCTTTCACTCAGCCTGCTCAGCATTTCCAGTTTTCCTCCGTGAATATTTTATAGGTCCAGACAGAGCAACCTGATAAACACTCGTGGTTTTCCCATATTTTCCCTATTTCCCATATTTCCCATATTTCCCATATTTCCCCTATTTCCTATACCTGCTCCCAGCCTTTCTCCCAGCCTGCTCAGCATTCCCAGTTCTCCTCTGTGAATATTTCATAGGTCCACACACAGCAATCCGATAAACATTCATGGTTTTCCCATATTTCCCGTATTTTCCATATTTCCTGTGGCTTCTCCCAGCCTTTCTCCCATCCCACAGCTCTGCTCAGCATTTCCAGTTCTCCTCTGTGAATATTTCGTAGCTCCAGACCCAGCAATGGTTTCTGATGGCTGATAAAACCACCCAAGTTCCTGGTGGTGTCTGCATTTCCCAGCTCCATCCCTTCACCCACCAAGCAGCCAATTAAATCCCAGCTCTTTAATGAATTTCCCCCRCTGAGGGAAAGTGCTGGCAATCAGGACAAATAATAAACAGAGCAGGTATAGAAGGGAAAATATCCCCATGATTAAATTCCATCTTGAGCAAACAGGCTCGTGATGGCAGCGTCTGGGACAGGGTCAAGTTCTTGACTCGGCTTTATCGCCAGCCTTGCCCTGSGTCGGACAGGAGGTTAAACCCGAGATTTGGGGATTAAAGACAACCAGAGTGGCTGCTCCCCGAACAAAAGGCAGAGCTTTTTGGCCTGGAGTCGGTGGGATRAAGCCACGGCGAGCTGCAGAGCTGGTTTGAGCAGCAGCCCAGAGCGATTCCGTGAGTGTGGAGGGGAGAGCCGGGTGCCAGGACCAGGTTTTTCAGGATCTCTCTTCCAGTGCGAGCACGGGAATGAAGGACAGGGTGTGGGAGAAGAGCTGCCCTGCAGGGGTGATGCTCAGAAATGTCAGATTTGACCTCGCTGAGTGCGTAAAGGGGATGTGGCACTCGCAGCAAAATGAGAGCAGAGCGCTCCTCTTCACCCCCATGTGGGTGACAGCGCTGTCCCAGCAGCTCGTGAGTGTCCCCTCAGCCCTGCCCGGCCCCAGGCAGGCTGTGCATGCCACACAGGGACCTTTTCTCCCCTTGCTGAGCCCTTATCTTCATCCCTGTGCTGTGTGGAGGAGAGGAAAGTCACATTGAGGTTCCTGGCGCCACTGGCACAAAGCCACTTTCCTGCTCTGACACAGGCACGGGACGGCGACTCCAGGCCAAGGAATGAGTCAAAATTTGGTGGGAGAACCATCTGACCAACCCCAGGGCTGGAGATGGACATTCAAGGAATATTCCTTAATTTTAGGGATTAGAAATCAGCGCTCTCAAAATAACTTTTGCTCCTCTGCCTGCCCCGTTCTCCTTGCGCAAGGCACACCCGGCCCTCGGTGCTGTTTGCGTCTGGATGGGGTTCAGAGGTCCGGCCTTCTCCAAATCTCCATCCCAAACACCCCCTCCCGGCCCCATTGCCCAAGACAGGGCCATAAAAGCGTCTCCCCCCTGTCCCCCGGCCGGCAGAACACAAGCGCAGGTGCAAGGGTTYGCTTGCGACACCGGCACGAGGTCCTGACTCCCTTGGCCCGGGATGGGCGCCCTGAGGGGGCTGCAGGTGCCACGGGAGCCCCGGGGCAGGGYGGCCAAAGGGCTCAGAGCCCACAGGGTCAGCGGGGAAACCACCAGATCCTGCCTGAAA